CTGGAGGGATCCTTCCAGCTGAGGGAGTGAGCTTTCACCAGAAAGCTTTCACCAGAAACCTCACAGCTTTTCCACAGCTCAGGAGCTTTCTGAGCTGACACATCCCTCAATAGCTACACACAGATATTTGCCACACAGTGAGGTCCCTGAATCAGGGCCCTGGTGGGTGACTTGTCCCCAGACAGAGCTCAGCAGGTTGCTACAGCTGCCATCAGCCTCTGCACGATTGTCCCTTGCTGGCTCAGGCAACTTCATCCTTGGTCATATCTCTTCCTTTGGTCAGAGCTGCACAAAGGACAGAGTTCTCAAGTAAATGTATATTTTACCAATACTTTTCAAGTCCTGTCTTCATTCCTCCCTTCCTTTGGTGGATGAGTCATTCCGGCAAACCTATCATGCTTTAAATTAATAGTGTCTTGGAAGGGAACAGAGATAATGAGCCATTCCAGGATGGCATTTCTTAAAAGCCAGGGAATGTACAGCACAGGAGAAGGTGCTGCCTGAGTCTTCCTCACCTTGTCAAACACATCCACCTCTTTCCTGAGCTTGTGACAGGGTCTGTGCAGTGTCTGACAGCTGCTGGCCTCCACTCCAGACACCTCTGAAGGGAAGCCTCTGACAAAGCCCTGCTTGCAGAGCTGCAGCTCTCTGGCCTCAACCCAGCAATGTGCTCACACAGGGGCTGGGTTCAGCTGCTGGGAGAGGTGTGTGAGTTTGGAACTGCTCAACAAAGGTGAGAGGGCTCCTTGTGAGCTCAGGGCAGTGGGGGTGTGAGTGTGGCTGGCACGTGGTCCCACCTGGATGTGGGAGTGTCTCTGCTCACTGTTCCTGTACCTGTGCAGGAGGACTCAAAGAAGCTCTGGCTGGTGCTCCTGCAGAGTGAGCTGCAGGCAGGGATGAAGGCATTAATATCCCCGATAACAGCCCCCATGCACACCACACACAGAAAGTGACTTACCCCTTCCACTCTTTGCCAAGACCCTTTCATTAACGAAGAGTTTTCTGTTAAGGAAAACATGATTTTTTTTTTTTGTTTTGTTTGTTTGTTTATTTGTTTTTCTGTCTTGACTACCACATGGAGGGATAAGGAAAACATGATTTTTTTGTTTTGTTTTGTTTGTTTGTTTATTTGCTTTTCTGTCTTGACTACCACATGGAGGGAGGAGAAGAACCTCCTAAAAAGAAAACACTGTATAGAGTGTTCAAGGCTCAGAGGGTTCTGAAGCTGAGAGTTCACCCCAGCAAAGGACAATAAAATGGATGGGTTGAATTCCCACACAGATGGGCTGCATCAAACCAAAGGGCAGACTCTGATGGCCCAAGCCACAGCCAGGCTGGAGCACTCAGAGCTGGTAGGACAGCACAGGTAGGAGCTGGCTCTTACTGTTACCTGCTAGGGTTTCACATCCCATTGAAAATCAGGGAGGCAGCAATCAGACAGGAATTAGGTGTGCTGTCAGTCATTCTGTATTTCCAAGGAGAAGAAAAAAAAAAGAAGTCTGAAGATCCAGCCCCACTGGGCCACTAGACAGAGCCCATGAGAGTGGGGAGTGGGCACAGTTAAAATGGTAGATTGTAATAGATTGATACAATGGTAGTTCTCTTTGTTCTGTCACCCAAACCTTACAGAACCTCAAGGACTATCAAATCCATTATAAAGCTTTTCTTTTCCAACTACCCTGAAGTTGCATTATTAGTAGCTATTATGCAATTACCATTTGTATTTTGAATAATGAAGTCTAAATTGTAACTGTTCACAGGACATCAATTTCAATTGCTATGGCATTGTTGCTCTTTTCTTATTTCTCCTTTTGAAGCCCATTTTGTACAAGGTGCCCCTCCACCCACTCGCCTGTGCTGAATCTCAGAGCCAGTCAGAGCACATTGATAACAGCAGGCTCTGGCCTGACCTAATGCACATGAAAGCACTGTTCCCGTGTCAGTGGCAACTGATGTCAGATCATACTCTGACCCTGGGGAAACTGAGCCTTGGTTATCATGGATGACTATTTGCACTTCCCAGTTCCTGTCTCCTGAATTTTAATTTGATTTAAGTTGAAAGATGAGTTTAAAATTTGATTGCAGTTTCTGTTTTAGATGTGCACTATCCATTGTTTAGAAATGTGGTGTGTCCATGCCAGGTGAGAGGAGCCTGAAAGCCTCTGTGGGGCTGCTGAAAGCTCAGGTGGGAGGAAGGTTCCAGAAGCACTCAGAGAGCCAGGCTCAGGTGGAAGTGCCTGGTGCCAAAGCTCTCACCCTGCTGCCACCTCAGGCAAACCCAGGCTGGGTTCTAACATGTCTGGGCTGTGCACATTAGTAGTACATGCAATGTAAAGCTTGGTAATTAATATTTCAGGGGCTCAGCTATACTTTCTGTGTCCTCAAATCTAACAGACACCAATATCTGAGGGCAAAAGGAGGAGTTCTGCAGCTCCTCAGTTCCAAAACCTCTGGTGCCTGTGTATCTGCACTTTTATTAATTCTTCTAAAAGGACCGTCTGACATTTAAGAGTAAGACACAAGAAAGAAAGGCACTGAATACCTTTAATACCTCCTGCACGCAGTCTCCTCAGAGACAAGCAGGTAACTGGAATTTTGCTCAAGAAGGACAGGGAGAAAACTAACAATTTTATTCCACAACACAACCATTCCTGCTCCTGAAGTGTTTTCTGACAGATAAAAACCAGACGAGCATCAACCAGAGACTTGTGTAATGACATGGAACACATGGGGCTGGCAGCTCCATCAGGGGTCCGAGGGCAGGAGAGAGAGGCTGGCTGGGATTATTGCTCTGGGAGGGATCAAGCCTTAACTCCTTAGCCAGTGAGGGCCTGAGTGTTTCAGGAGGTTTTAGCACATACTGTAGTTTGATAATTTGCACCTGGAGAAAGCTGACATGCCTGGGATTTTGCTGGAAATATGATTAGACTAAACTCAGCTTTCTTCTTCTGAGCTTGCAGCTCTAAAGCCAGTGCTAATGTATGCCAGCCAGAACAACATGGGAGGATAATGAAACAGCTCTTTGGATGCACAAGAATCTCACAGCTACAGTGAAAATGGCTTCAGGGGGACTAAAAAATAGCAGGAACCTCCCAGATCATCTTGCTATAGCGGTAATAAACTTCCAGTATGCCTTTTCCGTAGCCCTCAGGCAAGAAACTCCAGAGAGCAACTGCAAAGTTCATTCTGGTTCTGCTGAAAGCAACTGGAGCTCTGCCACAGTCAGGACTGGTGCATCTCTTAGACCTGGGAATCCATAAATACAAAACTGTGAGCAAAGAACCAGCTCCTTGGAAATACACACCAAATATACAAATCTTTCCTCCTCTCTTCATCTAGACTCTTTTTCTACTATTTGCCAGGAAGATCTTCATTAGTCTTTCCCAGAGTCTATGGCTGACACAGTGCAAGTTGGGATGCCCAGTTTACTCCATGACAAATTACCTACCCCCAAACTAGAATTTAACATTGTACCTGTCATCATTGTTTATATGCCCTGATAGAGGTTACAAATGCCAGGTACCAGGACAGACATCAGGCTTGCAAACAGTATTTTAAAATTATTAGTTGGAATTAGGAAAAAAATGGATAATTTGGAAAATATAAGTGTTCTTATCATTGGAACATGCAGATTGACCGTAGCTGTTTATTGAACTGCACTGGGCTGTTAAACCCCACACTGACAATGAAAGTGAATTCTTGACTCCTTGCATCAGCACGGGACCTTTTTACTCAGAAGCAGAATTTGGAGTCTGGCAAGAGGCACATTCTCTATGTCCTGTGTCCCGTGTCCCTCCCATGTGTTTCCCATCCTGTAGCTACTCCCCTGCCTTAGTCCTTGCATGGCCTGGCCACAGCATGGACATGGACAGGGGAAGGAAATTTGGAGTCTGGCAAGAGGCACATTCTCTATGTCCTGTGTCCCATGTCCCTCCCATGTGTTCCCCATCCTGTAGCTCCTTCCTGCCTTAGTCCTTGCATGGCCTGGCTAAAGCATGGACATGGACAGGGGAAGGGGACCATGCAGGTGACTGGAAATGGACAGGAAAAGAAACCCACTTTAGATATATATATATATTTATGTATATAAGGAATAAGTGACACATATGGAGTGCAAAATGAGAAAGATGATGATATCTCATTTAAAAATATGTTGCCTAAAGTCTTTGAATCCTAAACTGTCTTCTGTGTCAGCACCTATATATATATATATATGGAATATGTGACACATATGGAACACAAAATGAGAAAGATGATACATTAAAAATATGTTGCCTAAAGTCTTTGAGACCTAAACTGTCTTCTGTGTCAGCACCTGTCAAGAGTGACCCAACCGTGATAAAAACACTTATCAAAAAACAAGCGCTGAAACTCCACCAGGAGCCCTTCTGCAAAGATTCGGCCCGGGAGAGGTTTGTGAGGATGCTTTTCCCTTTTTCCCGTTAAGGCAGTGCCGGGCACTCTGCAAGCACGGATGCTCCGTGCCCGCTCGCCGCTGTGCTGGGCGCTGCCCTCCGCCCCGGCCCCGCAGCAGCCGCTCTGGGTACCGAGGGAGCGGCACCGGCACCGGCACCGGCGGGTGCGGGGCGCGCGGGGAGCCGCGGCACTGACTAACCCCGGTAGCGACCCTCGGGGCTCCGCCCGCGCCGATTTATGAATGGAGCAGCTCCGCCCCGAGCCCGCCCCGAGCGGCGGCGCCGGCCCCGCCGGCCGCACGTGCGGACGGGCCGGGGGAGCGGGGTGCGGGGTGCGGTGAGAGGGGTGCGGGGTACGGTGTGGGAGGGGCCGGGGTGCCGGTGCAGCGCGGGGTGCGGGGTCAGACGGGTGCGGAAGGTGCGCGGGGTGTGTGCGGTGCGGGGTGCGGTGCGGTGCGGAAGGTGCGCGGTGCGGCGCGGGCGGCGTGCGGTGCAAGATGTGTTAAGAGTGGCGTGTGTGCGGTGCGGTGTGTGCGGTGCGGGGTGTGCGGTGCGGTGTGTGCGGTGCGGTGTGTGCGGTGCGGTGTGTGCGGTGCGGGGTGTGCGGTGTGGAGTATCCAGCGCAGGAGCCCGAGAAGCCGCTGCTGCCCCTTGGGACCGGGCACGGTCAGGAACAAAAACGAGGTGTGTGAGAGGGGGTAAGGGTAGGAGTTAGGGAGGGGAGTAAGGGTGGGGAGTTTGGGCTCTCCTTGAGGTTGAGGTATAATCATGCTGTAATCTATGCAGTGTCACATACAGACATAGCTGATCCAGAAAGTGAAGTGTTGGTTTCTATTCAGAATTCAGGTTGTTGCTGGAAAGATGTCCTTGGATTTGTTTAGAGCAGAAGGTGAGCGTTTCTGCATTGGGAAGAAGTTCCTGCGACAGCAGCACAGGATGGTCAGGCAGCCTGCTTGAGCCAGAGCTCACCTGTGAAGTTCTGGCTCTTCTTGCTGTGTGAGGGTGTGTGGTCCCAAACCAGCCTGTTTCTGTGACACCACTGGTACTGCTCCCAGCAGGGAAGACTGGGATTGACCTTCCATGCCTCACTCGCTGCTTCAGCCATCCAGGTCACAGGTGATGGGCTTTCTTGAGGAGTTTGACCATTACTCTTCCCTGGCCAAACTCATGTCCATCTACCACGCAACCAACAGGAGCATCTTCAACTGGACAGAGAGCCGCATTGTTGAGTGGGAGAAATTTGCTGAGCTAGCTAAATATGAGCCAGAATCCCAGAAACCAACAGTGAAAGCGCTGCTAATCATGGCATACTCGGTCATTATTGTCACGTCTCTCTTTGGGAACATGCTGGTGTGCCACGTGGTGCTGAAGAACAAGAGGATGCACTCAGCCACCAGCCTCTTTATCGTCAACCTGGCGGTGTCAGACATCATGATCACACTGCTCAACACACCTTTCACCTTGGTAAGTAGCTGGTCTTGCTGTCCCTTCAGCCAGGACAGGAGTCTCCCACCCACCAGAACTCTGCCTGGTGGTCACAGACTTTCCATGCACTCTCTCCTAGGGCTGAGGTGGGAACCCAACACTACCAAGTCTAACTGATAACTCTACCAGGCAAGTAAAACACTGTTCAGCCACCTGTGGGCTCTCTGTTGCTCTGTTAGACTCTGTAACTCCTAGAAACTCCAAAGTCTATCACAATGTGTGCTACCAAACCCCAGCAAGAGCTTCTTGGAGAATGAGAACAAGTTCCTGTGTTTTTAATGTTCATGCAGGAGAGCACTGGAGAGTCCCTTAGTGGGTCAGAACAGTCTGAATGTCAGTCATGCTGGGTGACTGGAAGAAAGTAGTCAAGCTTTTCAGAGATGCCAGCTGGATAAAGGCTTCAATGAAAGCTCTCCAAATCTGACAGTGGGATTGATATCAAACCTTGGTGCACTTTTTCCAAATATAGTTGTTAGCGTAATAAAAAGTTTTTACCACTGTTCACAATGTCTGTAGAACTGGCCAGGAGGGCTGTGGCATCACCACTTTATAATCAGTGGGGTTTGACCCTATAAACTCTTCTGTAAAGGTGTTTCAGAGACCAGGATAGCTGATCTTTCTATAAGTTTCAGGTGAAGCTGCCCAACCAGTCAGACCCCCTGAGCCAGCTCAGGTTCCAGCCACAGGACTTGTTGGAAAACAAGCCAAATCCCTATGGATTTGTTTTTACCACATTTTCTGGCTGATGAGCTGTTGTTTCCCCTCAGGTCCGCTTTGTGAACAGCACGTGGGTTTTTGGAAAGGCCATGTGCCACATCAGCCGCTTTGTGCAGTACTGCTCCCTCCACGTGTCCACACTGACCCTGACGGCCATCGCTCTCGACAGGCACCAGGTGACACTGCCTGCCCCTCTTCTTTCAGGGCTCTGAGAGCAGACTCGAGCTATGATAAGTTTTTCTGTCCATGGCCATGACAAACGCTGGCTCTGTGTCCAGTGCAGGGCAGCAAGGACAGCCCAGGCCATGTGCTTGTCCCTAGCAATCACTCCCCCTTCATGTGCTGTTGTCAAATAGTAAGTTCCAGACTATCAGATTTTATCAGTTTAAAGATCTAACAAAGAAAATCTCATGAAAGGTGAATTTCTGCCTCAGCATAGAGGAGGAAAGCTCAGCTTCACAGGCCCAGCTGGAACAAGAGATGTTTTTATATAGTTCATATAGAATAAAAAACATACCCTTAAGTGAAGACACTTGGTAGATATCTTCCTTTTTTTTTAACGTAATGTAACCTCCAGCTTAAGGAAAACACATTACAAGATTGAGGATAAAGTTTGAAAGCTCTTCTGAGCAGACTGAGAAGTTCAATGTTTCCCATTTTCCAGGTCACTCTAATGAACAGGACATTTTCCTAATCATGGCTGTCATTTTCCTGTCATTAGCTGTGTTAGGTTATGTCACAAGCTGCCCTCTCCTCTTGTGGGCTGTGAGGGCCTTTGCTTTCTGTGGGAGAGGGGTCACGATGGAGTCTCTGTTGCAGGTCATCCTGAACCCTCTGAAGCAGAGAATGTCCCTGACAAAGGGAGCTCTGAGCATCTCTGTTATCTGGCTGATGGCAACCTGTTTCTCCCTGCCCCATGCTGTCTATCAAAAGCTTTTCCAGTATAACTACAGGTGAGTGATTTCCCTTCCCAGTGAGCGTGTGGAGGCCTGGCAGCCCCTGTGCAGAGCCACTTGCTCAGCAGGGAGGGCAGCTGAGCATCCAGGCATGGGATGGGTGATGTGGGATGAGAGGGAGTCGGTGTATGGGTGACATCCCACTTCCCCCAGCAGAGGCTGGGGCTGTGGAAGAGCTGCCTGGCCTGTGCTCTGCCTGGCCTGCTGTCCAGGGTTTGCTCATGCCACCTCCTGCGTGCCCAGATGAGGATCTGGGTCCACTCCCAGCCACGTGCTGGGGCAGTCCCAGGCACAGCCTGGCTGGGGCACAGTGTTGGCAACACACACCTCCTCCAGTGCCATGGCCTCGCCAGGAGAGGCTCTGTCCTGAGAAGGTGATTTTCTCCTGAGGGACTTTCCTCTTCCCTCCTCTTGCCTGCTCAGCTCCTCAGACCCAGCAAGACCAAGCCCATCCAACTCCCCCAGGGAGGGAGGAGAGAGAAAGTCAAACTGCAGTTTCAAAAAGAAAGAAAATAAACTTCTTGTTGGGAATACCTGTGCTGACATCACCAAGGCTCTGCTGGGAGCAGGAGCAGGGGACCACCCTGGTTTGTCAGCAGGGCTACTGATCCCTCTTCCCCAGGATTTCCTACACTGAGTCTCAGGTTGTGACTTCCCTCTATTTCATCCGTGTGGATTTACGAAGCAGGACCAACCTTCCCTGAAGCTTGAGGTTCCTCTGTCCAGTGTTACACTAACGAGAAAAACATAGAGAACATACATTCTTCATGAAGCAGGGCTGTGGGGGACCAGTGGGGCAGGTGAGGCATCAGTGCTTTGGCAGGAACTGGAGCTGTCCTGGTGTGCCATGGTGCCTCTCCTCACAAAAGGGAGCTCTTTGCTTGGCTGAACACAGTGACAGCAGATGAAGTGAAATTTCACATCAACATAAGGATAAGGATTGAAATACCAGAAAAAAAGAGAAGGTTCTAATGTAGAGGGAAAGAGAGAAAAAGAAAAAAAATTAAAAGCAGAAGTTTATCTCCCCACAAAAGGCCCAGCAATGGCACTTGTCTCTGCTGTCACCCTCTGCCAGGCAGAAATACAAACCCCAAACTCTGGGGTTCTTTTCCCTTGCAGCCCTTTCCTCTGTGGTACCCAACCTGTTCTGTCCCTCCTGTCCCCACCAGCCTGTGGCATTGCTGTGACCTCTCTTGTCTAGAAAACAGTCTGTAACAGTACCCAAGTGGGATTTTTGTGGCAGGTGTCACGCTGCTGGTGCTGCCCTTCGCAGGAATGCCAGCCTTGAGGCCAAGGGGATAATCTTACCATGACCTGTATTTTCAGGCTGAGATCAGCATCCCAGGGAGTGGGGCAAGGAGACACTGACAGGCAGCAGGAATGAGATTTCTATTGTAGACACTGACCTTCTGTATAAAGGACAAATCTAATTTCCTGCAGCCCAGTCAGATCCCTCCTGTTGATGAGGCAGGAGAGCGTGAGTGCCTGCCTAGGCTGTCCCTGCTTTTGGTGTCCAAGGGGCTACACCAGCTGGAAGTGGGATGGGGGCTTCACAGCCCTCCCCTGGCTGTGCTTGTGCCTGGTGTGCTGCCATGGCCAGGGGGTATCATACTCTAACTGCAGACTGTAAACACAGGGCAGGGTTACTCCGTGCTTGCGTTGCTCTGCAGCTGTGCTTGGGGATTAGGGAACAAATTGCTCATGAATGAACGAACCCCACGATCTGTTTCGGGGCACCTGTCTCTGCTCATCCTTTGGCATGGTCAGAGGAAACCGAGCCCTGTGTTGGCACGAGGCAGCTCAGCAATATAAGGACTTCCAGGACATGCTATTCCTGTCCCTGCTTTCCATTGAAAAAAAAAATCGCAGTTGTAATATTGCTTGTAATAGCTCCTGCAGGGTCAGGGTTTCTGAGATTGCTTCCAGGGAGTGGTTAGGGTTCTGGGATGGGAAACAGGGGCTCCACCAACATCCCTCTCTGGCTGCACTACACAGCAGCCATCTGAGTCCCTGGTCATATCAGCACTCACTGAAACAGTCAGATCCCCTTGGGCAGGTCGCCTGTGCCAGTGGTGAGGTCCCTCAGATCCAGGGGAGGAAAAGTCAAGACTGCAGTTCAAAAATGATGATTCTCCCTTCTGTGTCAGTTCCCATCTTGAGTGGCGTCTCCGGGTCCTCTGTACTCGGTGGACCCATTGTCACTCCTCTGACCTCATCCCCTGCTCCAGCTGCCTGTTCTCAGCAATCTCCTATTTGTGGCACAAAAGGCAGCTCCAGCAGTTGAAAACAGGATATTAAAGATATTAATCAATACTGCAGTGAATAGTACAGCTTGATGGGGGCTCAAATCTGTGCTGAATAGAGGAGAACCGAGGACAAGGGATGAAGAAAGAAGAGTGAAATGGAATAAGAGAAAGCAAAAGAGAGGAGAAAGGAAAGAAAAAGAGAAAACATCCACTGAAATAAATTCCATTACTCCAGCTGCAGGGTGTGGAGGGGACATGCAGTGCAGTGAAGGGTGATGGGATGAGAGCCACTGCTGGGCAGGCAGTGGGAACACATTGGGATCCTGGGGCTGGATGGGATGGGACAGGTGTGAGAGGTTGTTAAAATGAGCTGTTGTGTATGGTTGCACTTTCTTTTGTTAGTTCATTGTCAGTGGTTCAACTGGAGCCAAGTGAATAATCATCACACCAGTTTTAAGAGGTAGCAGGAAGGTTGTAGGAGCTGATGGCAATGGAATGGTAGCTAGGGAAGGGAAGTGAGGTGGGTTGGTCATGCCTGTGAGTCTTTCTCACAGCCTCCAGCCCTTCCCTCCCCTCCAGAACAGCCTTGGCTTAGAGCTGCTGCAGTGGCTCTGGCTGAGGGATCCTGTGCTGGGGGTATGGCACGGCAAGGGGTCCTGGCTGCTGGGGGACACAGCACGGTGGGTGCTCCCATGGAGGGCAGGGACTGCAGGTCCAGCCTGAGAGAGACGTGCCAGAGCTGTGGCTCTGTGTCCTCCCTCTGTCCCCACTACACCTCTGAGCAGGTGGCTGTGGGCAGTGTGAGACCCCCACTGTGTTTTGCCGAGCCAGCAGCACCCATGGGACAGCAATGGCCACATGCCATGTCTGTATTTCCTGTTTTCAAGGGAAGCCACTGTCCGGAGTCTGTGCCTCCCTGACTTCCCCGAGCCTGCAGAGTTGGTCTGGAAGTATCTGGACCTGTCTACCTTTCTCCTCCTTTACCTCCTGCCCCTGCTGATCATCACCGTCACCTACATGCGCCTGGCCAAGAAGCTGTGGCTCCGCAATGCCATCGGGGACGTCACCAGGCAGCAGTACGTCACCCACCACAGGAACAAGAAGAAGAGCATCAAGATGCTGGTGCTGGTGGTGGTGGTCTTTGCAGTCTGCTGGTTCCCCCTGAACTGCTACGTGGTGCTGATCTCCAGCCTGGGCATCAAGACAAGGAACTCGCTCTATTTCGCGCTGCACTGGTTCGCCATGAGCAGCACCTGCTACAACCCCTTCATCTACTGCTGGCTGAACGAGAGCTTCCGCACGGGGCTGCGCTCCCTGCTCTGCATCTGCCAGAAGGGGACACAGCCTCGGGAGCAGGCGCTGCCACCCAGGGCCACGTCCTGCCGCGAGGCGTGGCTGGAGCAGGCCCGCTGCAGGAAGGGACCGGCCTCCCAGGCCAGCTGCTCCACCAGGAACCTCCCGACAGCCAACACGGACCTGTGAGCCACGGGGCTGAGGGGACCTGCCTGCTTGTGGCAGGCACCAAAGGGCATCTCCCAGTCTCTCCTCGGGAGCCAGCATTGCTGCTCTCTTGTTTTACTGCTGATTTTTTGGCTTGTCTTACTCTAGCCGCTCCTCTGCTTGGCGTGGTGGGCACACAGCCTTTCCAGCACTCTACCAGTGAAACCCACGCTGCAGCTGGCCCAGGGGGCAGGAATATGTGCAGGGGACATGGAGCTTCTCAGACATCGTGATCTGCTTTCAGGTTTTCCCATTTATTGCTATCAGAGGGAGTGGACCCAGGTTTCTGCCACTGGCTGTAACACGTGTGATAACGTGGGGCTCTGCACAGCAGCAGAAACAAATCCGTGATGACAGGTGTCTGAAGGAAGGACTTGGGCATGCAGATGAACTCCATCCACAGGGAGCCTCACCAATTAGTGTATAGCAAAGCCTCCTACAGAGGTAAGGGTTGTTTACAGAGATTTTGCTGTCAGATTCTGCTGCTCCTCCTGCCCTGTCTGTCCCCCCCACAGCAGCTGGAAGCCAGCCCTAGACAAGGGGAGCAGGGATGCACCCCAGGAGCCATGGCTGTAGGCTCAGATGGCACGATGACAGATTCATGTAGTCCACTGAGAAGTTATTTTTATTATAAATATATTTATTCAGTAAAGAGAGCTACACTGGCACTTTATAAAAGGCCACAAAATATTTCATCAGGGCTGTAGCATTCACTCACTGAAGAATGGAATCATTCTGCATTGTTACTGGTTGCTGTAAAAGTCTCATTTAAACAACAGGAGGGCAAGAAAGGGCCAGAAGGAATGTTCTGTGAGGAGCAACCAAGGACTCTGGGGCTGTCTGGTTGGTGCAAGCCAGGTGATGGATTTCAGTAGCCCAAGGGCAGCCGTGTCTGCTGGGGGGCTCCTGGTCTGCCCTGGTGATAGCCTAGACACACCTTCAGCCCAGAGAGGCAGTGGGGGAGCTGGGTGGCTTGAGGGAATAAGAACATACTCCCACCACCTTCCCAGGGGAGAATAAGCCAGACCAAAGAAGGGAAACTAAGGACTGATTTTTTTTTTTTTTAATTTTTTTTTTTTTTTTTTGTTATTTTCAATTTTTGCAGTGGGAAGGAAAAGGACAGAAAGGAGGGGATTCTAGCTTCAGGCCACTTGACCCCAGCTGGGCAACTTGGGTGTGCACTGCAGTGCCTGCACCAGAAGAAAACAGCAGAACACGAGGAGGGGCAGCAGGAATGGGTGAATGCTTTGTCCCTGAGACACTTTGCTTGGAGCTCACAATTATTGAACATGGGAATTCAAAGTTGTGCTGGTTGCCAGCACTGTCCTCCCTCACTGTACAGAAGGGGGTTTTTTTTTCAGTCAAAAAACATCACTGTGACTTTCTCAGAATGTTAATATAATCTGTAATTAATAAGCATCACCTCATTTAATTAGTAAAAGAAGCTATCATTTGTTTTTTTCCTGTTTCTCACTTCTCACTAGCTTTTGGTGAGCAGCTCTCAAACTGCCATGTGTTGTCTTTAATATTTATTAGGTTTGTTTTTCTTCCTTTAAATGGGTAAATAACCTTTTTGTGGAGGAGTCCAAGCCCTTACTCCAAAGAAGGGGTCTCTCCACACTGCCTTGATCTTCTGCTAATCCCTGTAGTTATCTATCTCTTGCTGTCAGAAATAACCTGGCTGGTTTTCCTTGGATCTGTCGATCACAGCATCTCCTCGTTGCTGAATTTTTCTTCCCTAAATGGGCAGGATGTAAGAGCTGAGTGTATCGAATCTCCGTAATGGCTCAGCTATCTGGACTGATAATTATCAATGCCTGAGTGAGAATCAGAACTTTGCACCCTTTGCCCAGTGCCTCAGGGCTCCTGTATCACTTGAGGATGCCCTGATGCCCAGCAGAGCTCAGGCAAACATAAAATGCACAATATATATTAAAAAAGTATAACCTGAGCATCGTTTGACCAGGGCATGGACAATGCCTGGGGAGCAGGAGGCTGCCTCTCTGCTGGACTCCAAGCCAACTTCTGGAAAAGGGAATCTGTGAAAGTCGGCTTCTGCTGGGTCTGAGTCAGCTCAGCACATAAATAGGTGCTTAAACATTCCTTATAAACATTCCTTAATGTTCTCCATCCCGCCGGACACCTGTGGAAATGGCAGGAGCAGGAGGCTGCCTCTCTGCTGGACTCCAAGCCAACTTCTGGAAAAGGGAATCTGTGAAAGTCGGCTTCTGCTGGGTCTGAGTCAGCTCAGCACATAAATAGGTGCTTAAACATTCCTTATAAACATTCCTTAATGTTCTCCATCCCGCCGGGCACCTGTGGAAATGGCATCCCGAGCGGCGCCGGGATCCGGGGGGAGCTCCCGGGGACCGGAGCCAGGCTGAGCTCCGCTCCCGGCCGGCCAGGGCTCCTTGCTCCCTGCAGACACAGCCTGGGGCCCGACAGGAGTGTGGGGTGCCAGGAGAATCCTCCGGGAAGCCTCTGCCACCAGGAGACCCCTCCTGCTTCCTCCCGGTGCCCCCGGTGGCTGCGGCGCGGCTCTCTCGCAGGCGAAGCCCCCGGGAGAGTTTGGAGGGCAAATTATTGAAACACTGAGTCACCACAAGGCTACTCCCGGGAAACTATTTGAGCACACACAAATCAGCGTGCAAAGATCCAGCGAGACATGTCTGAGTGATTAACAGCCCGAATTTATTAAGGTTAGCTCATGCCAAATGCAGCAGAGTGCCTTCAGCAGAGTTGCTGATGAAGACGATAACAGGGAGCGCAGTGCAGGGGATACCTGAATTCCAGAGACAAATCCTCTTATACAGCCCCACCACATAATGAACAAAGAAACCACAACATGCCAACTAGATTAACAAAAAGCTAGCAGAAAAACCCCCACAATGAGTCAGAAAATTAGCTCAGGAAGGAGAAACAGAATACAATTATCATCACTTAGCTCTTCAAGTGGAAAACAGTACGGAGGGGCTGGCCAAAGCACGCTGCAGGGATAAGGGGGAATGTTCTCAGTTAAATCCAGTTTAAACTCTGGATGTTGGGGTGTAGGTGGGCCAGTGACAAACCATCATCAAGTAACTCGGCATCTTAGATCAATCACAGAGCAGGGGAGGAAGAGGGAGGAAGGAGCCTGGCCCTTACCTGGGAGACTGGATGTGAAAGGCACACCCCGAATTCCCGCGTGGGAGAAGATGTGCAGCCGCCCTGTGCCCCAGGCAGCAGCAAAGTCTCTCCCTGGAGCCGGGGCGCACAGCTCTGCTCTCTCACTGGCTGTGGAGACAACCTGCCTGCCCCCCAAAGACATCACCTGCCCCCCAAAGAACTCACCTGTCCCCACAGACCCCTCCTGCTCTCCCCTGCTGCCTCCTCCTGCCGCACTCCTGCTCTGCGGTGGGCAAAGGAACGCGTCTGATCTCCCAGACTTTGGAGGCAGGAATACCAGCAAGTGAGGACAGGTTTAGCACCAGGCACGGGCTGCAGGCAGCACTTGGTTTGAAGGCTGATGGCATCTCACAAGCTGCCCTGTCCCACCAGGGCTCAGCAGTGATCCCCACCCCAGTTCCAGGGTCTGCTCCCCTGAGGTGACACCAGAGCACTCCCAGGGCTTGGCTTGTCCCAGTCTGAGCCCAGCAGGTACATTGGAGGCGTCTCCTTGCCCAGATGTGCTGCAGATGTTGAGTTTCTGCCCTGGAGCAGCTGTTCTTTGGGGTCCCTGATGGGCTGGGGCAGGGGGCCAGCAGCAGGTACCAAAAGCTGCTCTGAGCAGTGCTGGGAGAGCCAGGAGGGGCCAGCCCGAGCAGGCAGGGGTGTGGGTGTGTGCCTGGGGGTGTGCTGGAGCCAGCCCTCCCTCGGGAGGTCACATGCAGCCTCCACAGGCAGCAGATCAAAAGCACCTCTTGCCCTGCTCCCCATCCCTTGGTGTTTTGTTATTTGCCCTGGTAATAAGGGCTGAATTAATGCACTTGGTCCTTGATTGATGTTTCACTCCCCCAGCAGCCCACACCGGCTGATGCTGCTCAGTTCAGTAGTGCCAAGTTGTAGAAGTGGAGAACAGCTGTCACTTAACCAGACGTGAGAGGGCAAAAATAGTAATAAACACCCCAAAAGCCACAGGCTGAGCTCTGCAGGATCCAGGTCTGGTTGTACAACACAATAGTCTGTCACTTGAAGAGATTTCTCCATGACAGGCCCATAAAAGTCTCCTTGGCAGATGAGACCAGACTAATTGCTTTATAAAATCAGATGAATGGACCATCTAATGCATCTGCTGGAGACAAACTCAATTGCTTTATAGGACACTGTAAGGGGCAAGCACGGGGAATGTCCCCATTAATGGAATTCCTGCTTATTACTTCACAATTAATGGGCCTTCAGAGCATAAAGGTTTATATCCTCTGTGTCATTCCCACATTATTTCATTGCATACATCTGTATCCCGGCCATGCTGTGTCCTGCAGGCTGTGGGACCTTGGTGGTCTCTTGTCTCCAGGATTTCCACTCTGCAGGGACCTGGTGTAGCTGACAGCAACAGTAGGAATTTTCAAAGCCTCATTTTGACTATTTCTTGCTATTCCTACAGCCCTGCAGAAGTCATTTCCATTTCAAGCCCACACCTGGAGCCAAGCTGAACACCACCATCAGTGTGATTCCTGGTGCCCAGACTGTGTGTACTGTTAGGAGATAATTTATGATACCTAACAAAAATGATGGCAGCAACTTTCAGAGCAGCAGATTTTGTTCCTATTTTTGAGATAGACAATGTTTTTTTTGCAGCCACATCCTGCCTCAGGCAGTTTTCCACAGGATTAAGCAATCAATTAATCAATGGCCTTAACATTTTGCAGCTTACTTCTCCTTCCACAGCTTATTTTGACCTTTTGCTGCTGACACAGGCCAAACATGGCAGAATTCAGAATACAAGGAGTGCCTGGATCGCTCCCATGATGGATTTACCACATTTCCATCAGTGGGGAGTTGCAGTAGGTTGGGTGGCTCTGGGCTGTTTGGGACAGTTTAATTTGCTTCTGAACTGTGATACACTGCTCAGACCTTTCACATTCAGGTTAATAAACCAAGTCCCTCCTAAAGGCTGGAAAGGAATTGAGTTTTAGTTTTTAGCATTACAGTTCTTCTTTCACAGTACGCTGTCATTCCTGAACTCCTCTTCACAGTTCAGTTATTTGTTTGTCTCCATTTCCCACCCTGTTCTGGAGTTAAACCCACCAGGAACAGTGACTGATGCCAACTGTTCCCTCGTGGAGATGGCAATGGCTGCACTCCAAATAAAGTCTTTAATGCAGTGTCCCTTTCCTCTTTATGTTCATGTTTCTGTGGCAGGATATGAATTTCCCCCCATTATTAAATTTGACACACCCTCTGTTCTGTTTAACAGAATTGCACTAACTTGCCTTCCATTCAGGAGAATGTAAGTATTTTGCTTTCTTGCACAGCTTGCAGGGCAGGATGTAGGGATATTCATTCTCCAGGGGAGCTGTTATGATTAGCAGAGCTAATAAAAACCATGAATATTTAGCAATATATTCAGGCATTTCAGCTATAAATGGGAACATCTTCAGCACTTGACTGATTCTCAGTTTCTTTGTGAAACCAAGTTGTCAAATTGTTTGTTTTGCCGTTGTTTCTCCTGGTCACTGTGAAGGAAGGAGGGATTGAGGGGAAGGTAGGACAAGGCTCCTATTTTCCTATCTGCAGTGCTGAGCATTGTTAACACGTTCTCAGCTCCCCCTCCCTGTACAAAGTGGGGACAGGAGCCTTTCCCCCACTCCATTTCTGCCTGTGTTGATGTGTTTGTGCCCACACTCACACTTGGATGCCAAGCTGCCATTTCTGATGCCATTCCATGGTACAGGTGCTGCAGGGCAGCAGCACAACCCTGTTGGTGCCCAGGGCAGAGGGTGTGGGACACATCTTTGGGAAGACCCTCTGGACAGGACCAGGGTACGACCGTGGAGCAGAGCAGCTCACAGCCCACCTGCTCTCACTGGAGATGTCCTGGGGGCAGGACAGGATGGGAGCCCCAGCCTGGGTCATGTCTGGCTTGTCTGACTTTGGAGGTGG